GTGTGTGTGTGTGTGTGTGTGTGTGTGTGTGTGTGTGTGTGTGTGTGTGTGTGTGTGTGTGTGTGTGTGTGTGTGAATGATATAAACATGTTTATAACTCACCTTTATAAATAAGAGGTTTATCTCTATCTTCTGTTTTCTCCCGACTGGCCAACTCAAGGAAATCTTCAATCAAGTCCAGAGATATGAGAGACTGGCTAAACACAAGTCTAAAGCAACAGATTGGGGGTTCATGCATTAGAAGATTCACCTAGCAAAGTTATTGCTTCTTCCTAAATTGATCTATAAACTTAACATTTAATAACCAAATTCCCAAAATCTGAGCATAAATTTTTTTGTAAAAATTAACAAGCTAATTGTAAAACTCACGTGGGAATGCTAAGCACAGAGTAGCCAAAACAAATATGGAAAAAGCCAACAAGTTAGAAGTCTTAACTCTGCCTGACTTTACTGTAAAAAAAAGACATTGTCATTGCAGTGAGGGAAGAGGAAGAGATCAATGGAACAGAAAAGAATACTGCCATATAGTCATTTGGCATGGTTCAATAATCTTCAACAAGGCAAAAACAATTTAACAACAAAAACAATGGATAGGCTGCTCACAACTAGCATTAGTTGTAGCAATATGCATATGTAAAAAATAAATTTTGGTCTAAGCTTCATGCTTTACAGAAAAAAATTAATTCAAAGAGAGTATATAGATATAATATAAAAGTAATAGAGAGGTTAGAAAATGCAGAGAAAAATCTTCAAGTTACTTTAGGCCTTATGGGAGAAGTCAGTGGTCCTTTACTTTGTGTTCAAGGTCACCTATTTGTAGGTGCTCAGAGAAGTATTTGAAAACCAGTGCTCAGCTCCAACTCATAGGTGAGAAGAGACATAATTGAATACTGGAAATGAAAACAGTCTAGAAAGACAATGTGAGAAGATCTCCTTTCCAAGTAGGTGAACACATAAGAAACTCCTTGTGGCAACATGCATTGTTTTGTTTTGATCCTGAAAGTTTGATTATCGAAGTGCTTATGATTCTACAAGATCCTACAACACTCACTACCAGAAAGCATTCGATTTAGCAGAGTGAAAATGAACTAGAGCTTGGAGCCACTAGAATGAACCACATGCACACGTATGCTCATTTTCTATTCTACAGCTTCCCAGCTCAGCTCTGCCCTACTAGTCTATCTCTACTACATTATTGGCAAGGAAGTGAACTGACTCTCAACTTAAATGCTAAAGTTTAAGTATGCCTTATCTCTCCTCAGCTTTCTTACTATCTTTTCCATATCCTTAATGCCCTGACATGGAAAAGTGAAATTCCTAGAAATACTAATTGAAATTAATCTGGAATGTGGGCTCTTAAAGTAGGAAAGAAAGTTGATGTTTTTTAATTAGCAAGTAAGGCAGTCTAGGAACCATTAAGCTAAATCGCTTGGAAACTGCTAAAGAGTTGTGGTAATACACAAATGTTCACCTCTGACTTTTCCTAGTTGAAGATAATATGATGATCTATTGTCCTGATGGGTTATGCTCATATCTGCATAATTCATTTTGGTTTTCCTGATTTATTAATGATTTACATGAAAATATCAACAGAATACTTATGCAAGTCATGTATACCATAAGGATTTAGTCAATGTTTAATGATTTATTAATAGACTGGTCAAGCTAAATGTAGTGGAATAGTGGAGTTGGCTATAACTAGCCTCCAACAAAAAAGTTCATTGTTATAGTCTTTTCCCACATCTGATACAATGTTGATAGCTTGAGATTGACCATGGAGGGAATATTTATATCATGAAAATTAGTAAATTTTGTAAATCAGATTGTTTCTTCATTGCTTGCCTTTTCTCTTTATTTTCATTATTATTTTATGGAAGGGCAGCTGTTACTTAAGAGCATACCACTGACTAAAAAAATCCTATTTCTCCAGCCCTGTGAAATATCAAATGTACATTGGGTTTAAAAGATCAACTGCATGGGGCTGGGAATGGGGCTTAGTGGTAGAGTGCTTGCCTGAGTGAAGCTCTGGGTTCGATTCCTCAGTATCACATGAACAAAAAAGCTAGAAGTAGTGTTGTGGCACAAGTGGTAGAGTGCTAGCCTTGAGCAAAAGAACCTCAAGGACTGTGACTTGAAACTCAAAAACTCAAAAATCAATTGCATGAATAAAGAATGGAGGAATTTGGGAAGTGGCGCTGTGGCTCGAAGTGATAGAATGCTAGCCTTCAGCAAAAGAGCTCAGGGACAGCGCCCAGACCCTAATTCAAGCTGCAGGAGAGGACCCCCACCCCTGCCCCAAAAGAAGTTGTATAGAAAAAGAAACTTAGTTGATTAAGTTTAACATGAAGCAATCTCACAGACAACGAAAACGTACTTCTATATTAGATCACACAAATGAAAACACATATAAAATGCAGCCATTAGTAAGAATTCAATTCAGTTACTAATTCTCTGGCTACTTTCTACAGTTAGGAACATTTTTTTAAATTAAAAAATAAAGAATTGAGCCAGCTCCAGTGGCTCATGCCTGTAATCCTAGCTACTCAGGAGGCTGAGATCTGAGGATAGTGGTTCAAAGCCAGCTGCGGCAGGAAAGTCCCTGAGACTCTAATCTCTACTTAACCACTAGAAAACTGAAGTGGTGCTGTGCCTCAAGTGGTACACTGCTAGCCTTGAGCTGAACAGCACAGGGATAGCACTCAGGCCCAGAGTTCAAGTCCCACAACCCACAAAAAAAATTATAATTTACATTAAAAAAATGAAAGCCAGACACTGATGGCTCATGTCTATAATCCTAACTACTTACGAAGCTGAGATCTAAAGATTATAATTCAAAGCCAGCCAGGACAGAAAAGTACAGGAAATTTTTCTTCTCCAATTAAGCAGTAAAATGCCTAAATGAAGGTGTGGCTCAAGCAGCACAGCACCCACAAGCTATAAGCAAAAACAGCCCTGTGAGAGCATGGAGCTCTGGATTCAAGCCCTGGTACTGGCTGGCACACAAGCACGTACACACGCACACATGCATGTGCACACACACATGCACAGGCACACACAAACCCAAGAACTAAAACAAAAAACTAGTTCTCTAATCTTGTCCATTTTGGCAAATAGCATCATCTGCTAGTCATTTCTGCTGGAAGTCTAGGAACCATTCGTTAGACTATTCTCTCCTTACTGCCCTTAATCTATCAAATTTTATTATCCCTACTCCAAAATATACTTTATCTCAATTTTAATACTTGATTTTCAAGCAATAAGTAAGAAATGGTAGTGCATGCCTATAATCCCAGCACTCAATAAGCAAAGCCAGGAATATTATAAGTTCAAGGACAGTCTGGGAAATATAGTGAGATCCTAAATTTTTTAAAATAGGGCAACATCATAATTTACCTGAAATTATGTTTCTATATAAAATGGTAATTAGGGCTGTAGAATGCCAGCCTAGCAAGCATGAGGCCCTGAGTGTGAACTCCAGCACCATAAAAATAAACATGTAAATAAATATATAAAGACAAAGTGGCTCACTAAAAAATTTAGTGAGCACTGAACAGATGCCAGGTATAGTGAATAAAAACAAATAAAAAGCTAGGTGCAGGTGGCTCACACCTGTAATCCTAGCTACTCAGGAGGCTAAGATCCAAGGATCTCAATCTGAAGCCAGCTCAAGTAGACAAATCCCAGTGACTCTTATCTCCATCTCAAATTAAGAACCAAAAAGCTGGGGGTGGAGCTATGGGCTCAAGTGGTAGAGCACTAGCCTTGAGTAAAAGGGCTCAATGATAGCACCTAGACCCCGAGGACCTGAGTTCAAGCCCTAGGACTGCTTCCCCAAAAACAAAACAAGAAAAAATGGAATGTGTCTTTAAGTAAGCCTACTGGTCTGGTACAAAGACATAAGCAAACCGGTACATTGGAATGTGTTGAGAACTAATTATTTTTAAAAAGGTGGTATGGGAAGTAACAAATGCCTGTTTTCAGAAGGGCTAATTGATAAAATAGACCTCTTTCTTTAAGATAAAAGAGTATTTTTCAGCGTTATGTTAATTATTCAAAGCATCAGACATGTTTTAAAAATCTTTCATGATCAGATGTTGAGACTCTGTAACAGCTTATGGCAAGTTTGGTTTAAAGCTTGGACAATGGTTTGGGGCTAATGATCCAATGGGTGAGATGGTGGGCACAAGATATGATAAAGACAGACTCATAAAACAGATAAGAATCTGAAAGGTAATCATTAAGTCTAGGGATTCAGTGTTCACCAGTGATTGTAGGAAGAAAAAATCTTGGTACAGTGACAAGTTAGAAGACACACTACAGGGACTGAAAAAGTATGTTTTCATAAATCTTAACTAGACACATGAGCCAAGGATTCCGTCCAAGGGGCAACAGCTCAAAAGGGAAAAGAGCAGGGCTGGGAAGGTGGCTCAGTGGTAGAGCACTTGCCTTGCATGCTCGAGGCCCTGGGTTCGATTCCTCAGCACCACATCAGTAAAAAGCCGGAAGTGGCGCTGTGGCTCAAGTGGTAGAGTGCTAGCCTTGAGCTGAAGAGCTGAGGGACAGCGGCCAGGCCCAGAGTTCAGGCCCCACAACCGGACCCCAAAAAAAAAAAAAAAAAGGAAAAGAGCACTGAAGACACCACCTGACTAGAACTCCTAGCTGTCTGCCACTAAGGAAGTGCTATGACAAGAAATTACAAAGGAAATTGCTGAAATAACAGATTATGAACAGGTTTGTCAATTCAGTAAGTATAGGGGGAAAAAAACTTACACTTTATCCCCAATTTCTTCTGCCATTCGAAGGATTTCAAAGAGAAGTACCATTTTCCCAGAATGCTCTAAAATCTCAGCATCAGCATCTGTTACAAAATCTTTGTACCAGTCTGGAGCTGGGCTGCTTGGATTAGAAGCTGACGTAGCTTTACCTAAATAAAATAAAGGGAACATAGGTTAAATAATTAATTGACATAGGTCAGTCAGGTAAAACTGAACAAGATCAAGAGAAACAGAAGTACACCAATTTAGGGAGAAAAGAAATATGGCGCATGCACAAACATCACCACCACCATCCCACCCCATCCCACACCAGAGTAAAAAAGCTCTACACTGAAAGACAAGCATGAAGAAGTGGAGGTTGGCTTCAATGCCAATGGTAGCAACAAGAATGGGCTCTGAGAAAATTCAAGTATGAGACAGACCCTGGAAGTAGAACTGAGGCACTCAGAGATGCTAAGGGATGGAAACCCCCTAGGCCTAAGAGGATCAATTCCCCAAGATATACTCCAAGAAATAGTGGGGAAGGGAAGAGAGAAACCATAACTCAGCCCAAGCTTTCTAGGGATAGGATGTATTTTGCTGTTTTTACTACTAGAATTCTGGAAAACACAAACAAGGACTTCTTTCATAATTGTCCAATCCGGTTCAATAATTGAAACATAAGTGGATCAGGATACAGGTTGCACCCACGGAGCAAGCAAACCCCTATCTCAGAAATCATGAGCATGTATAACAGCTAGACGCATAGCAAGCTTGAGCTAGCAAGATCAGGGCCCTGAGTTCAAAGCCCCATAATGGAAAACATACACACACACACAAATGGAAAACACACACACACACACACGCGCACACACACACACACACACACCATTAGACAAGCAATCAAAAATTTGTCTTTCTGGGCTGGGAAGATGGCTCAGTGCTAGAGTGCTTGCCTTGCATGCAGGAGGCCCTGGGTTCAATTCCTCAGTACCACCTAAGCAGAAAAAGCCAGAAGTGGCGCTGTGGCTTAAGTGGTAGAGCACTAGCCTTGAGCTGAAAGCTGAGGAACAGTGCCCAGACCCAGAGTCCAGGTCCTATGACCAACAAAAAGAAAAAGAAAAATTGTCTTTCTTAGCTCAGTGCCAGTGGCTCATGCCTATAATCCTAGTTACTCAGGAGACTGTTTAAGGATCATGATTCGAAGCCAGCCTTGGCAGGAAAGTCCGTGAAACTCTTATCATCCATTAATCATCGAAGGGCCAATTGCAGAACTGTAGCTCAAGTGGTAGAACACTAGCCTTGAATACAAAAGCTCTGAGAGGACACCTAGACCTTGAGTTCAAACCCTAGAACCAGCACACATAAAAAAAAAGTTTGTCTCTCTTGACATGATCTTTCCTGTCTGCTTTCTGGCTGACAACATAAAGACTTCTAAGCTCTTCCTCGGTTCTGTGCAAACCATTCTAATAATCACATATATGGAAACTGTGATGCTTTTACAGAACACGGGGAAACATGGAAGAGGCCACTCATTTCTTGAAGTGATGCAATTGCAACAGACTCCTTCCCACCTCTAACATCAGCCAATGTTTCTACATAACCTATTTACAGCACTGGAAAGTGTATCCTTCTCTTCTCAACCAAAATTTAGGAGAAACCTCAACAACAGTATTTGTAGAAAATTAGTCCCAGAAACACATAATGTAATGATAAGATGTAATGTAACTCAAAAGGTAAACTGAGGGGCTAGGAAGGTGGATCAGTGGTAGAGTGCTTGCCTTGCATGCATGAGGCCCTGGGTTCAATTCCTCAATACCACGTAAGCAGAAAAAGCCAGAAGTGGTGCTGTACAGCACTTGCCTTGAGCTGAAGAGCTGAGGGACAGCATCCAGGCCTGGAGTTCAGGCCCCACGACTGACCAAAAAATTTAAGTGTCAAGTACTGTTCTTGTCACTAGATAATCAGTCTCTTATCAATGAATAGTACTGACATTGGACCACAATACATGCATACATAAATTGGATAATTTCAGATATAAGCAATTTCAGAATAAGTGATGTGCTGATGTGAGTGGGTAAAGAAGTCATTTGTATGGGGGAGGGGGAGCCTTCTTCTCTGAGGAGGTAACATTTGACCTGAGACAAGCAGGGATCAGGCATGTGAAGGCCCTGAGACAAAAAAGGGTAAACGGAGGGAAGCAATAACGTGTTTCCTGTTATCTTAACCTATAATCACTTTCCGTTTTCCTATGATAAAAATATTCTTTTAGCCGGGCGCTGGTGGCTCACGCCTGTAATCCTAGCTACTCAGGAGGCTGAGATCTGAGGATCGCGGTTCAAAGCCAGCCCGGGCAGGAGAGACCGTGAGACTCCTATCTCCAATAAACCACCAGAAAACCGGAAGTGGCGCTGTAGCTCAAGTGGTAGAGCGCTCGCCTTGAGCTGAAGCGCTGAGGGACAGTGCCCAGGCCCAGAGTTCAAGCCCCACGACCCACAAAAAAAAAAAAAAATTCTTTAACTGGACCCTGGTGGCTCACACTTGTAATCCTAGCTACTTAAGAAACTTAAGGATAGTCGTTCAAAGCCAGCCCAGGCAGGCTAGAGATTACCAGGTTATCTTTAACCATCAATAAGCCAGAAGCAAAGCTATGTCCCAAGTAGTAGAGTGAAAAAGATAAAGGGTAATTCCCAGGCCCTGAGTTCAAGCCCCAATACTGGCACAAAATAAACTAAAAAGTCAACATTCTTTAAAACTAATCAGAAGACAAACACTGATAGTAAACTGCCTTTATGGGGTACAAGGAAAGAAGAATGAGAAAGGAAATTTGGTGGTTTAATTTTCCCAGCTCCTTCCATTTCATGGAGAAGCCAGGGTTTGTGCTTAGGCTGCCACCTGCCTACTCATTAGAGGTACTGACGAGAGAAATGTTTATCAAGAAATCACTCAATTGGATCAACAGTGGATCTCAGATTTCCCCAGGCCTGTTTCTTTGCAGCTCACACATGGGTAACTGCTTTGTTCTACACCTCTTAAATGCCAAGTACTCAGAACCATCACATGATTCTCTCTTCCTGTGCTTGATATATCAAATATTGTTAGATTTGTTCCCAGCTCTAGAGATCTTTTCCGTCTAGTCAGTCAGACCTGGGTAAGACAGGAAGGTCAGCACTGATCCCTCCATACACAGATGTGCCAAGGCAAGTTAAGCCACTGCAGAGTTCAATCAGACTGTTTTCACTTTCATACACACGAGAGAAAATAAAAGGGAACACTGTACATAATAGAGGGAAACAAAACATAGACAAATTAGAGATTATCAAGAATGAGAAAAGAAAACATCTAAGAGATTAAAATTAGATTCAATAAATAAATAAGTACAATCACACTTCATTACCTGAAATGTTTCTGGTTATGGAAATATGATGGTGGCTTGCAACTAGATACACAGATCTTGGTCTGAATCCCAGTTCTATCAATCTTTTAAAAAGACAGAAGTGGAGCTATGACTTAAGTGGTAAAGCTCTAGCCTTGAGGGAAAAAAATCTAGGAACAATTCCCATGCTCAGATTTCAAGTCATTGTACGCGTGCGCACACATACATACACACACAGAGCGAGGCCACTCAAGAATTAGCATATTGAAGAATAATCAGGTTGTGGTATATACATGTAAATAAACAATTCTTTTTTTCCTCCCAAATACCAGAGAGACTATAATGAAACATTATCAAATAGCTATTATAATTCTGAGCCTCTGGGGCTGGGAAGGTGGCTCAGTGGTAGAGTGCTTGCCTTGCATGCCTGAGGCCCTGGGTTCGATTCCTCAGCACCACATAAGCAAAAAGAAAAAAAGCCGGAAGTGGTGCTGTGGCTCAAATGGTATAGCGCTCGCCTTGAGCTGAAGAGCCGACAAAAAAAATAAAATATAATTCTGAGCCTCATTTCTCCTCGATTCCATTTTGAGTCCATCAGTGAGCACAGATAATAAATGACTAAAAGGAAAGCACTAAGACCTGATATCTAAATGAATGTTCTCTTTGAGAGGCAACAGGCACAAGACTCACTTTCGTCCAGCTTTAAAGATCCAGAGGGGTTGTTTCCGGTGTCATCCAGATTCCCTTCGCCACCACCTCTCGACCGGGAATTCCAGACCTTAATCACTTCAACATCATTGTCACTGCCACTACCACTTGAGCTACTGTCTTTCTTCCCCTTCTTCCCCTTTGTTTTCTTTTTTCTGAAAATAGAAAAATCCGAACATGAGAAAAGCATACTAAAGATATAAAACAAATTATCAGATGACAATTAGCAAAGAGATATCCTAAATGTGAGAATACAGAGCACAAACAGTGCTGGATTTACTTGGTATACTCATCAGAGCTTAGACTCATGGAAGTTTCATCAGAATCCGAAGCTATGAATTCATCCATACTATCTTCATCAAAATATCCCTAAAGGGAAAAAAAAGACAAAAAAAGTAGTAACTTCATTTCAACATATACTGAAGATGTATAATAATGTTTAATTTCCTTTAAGGATACATATAGTGACATGACAAATGGAAGGAATAAGGAATTATCATAAATTGCAGAAAAATGTTGGAGACATGATGGAATGGAAAACAGCAAAAAGATGGAAGAAAACATGATGAACATGATGAAGACCGTTGCTGCTATTATACTAATACTATATTACTATTATACTAAACTGAGTTTCTTAATTTTGATAACTTTACTACGGTTACACTAAGATGTTAATGAGAGAAAAATGAGTCAAATGTACAAGATAGCTCTCCACTACTTTTGTAACTTTTCTATAGGTAGTCAATTATTTCAATGTAGTAGAGGGTTTTTATTTAAAATAGGCTCAAGTAAAAATTTAAGTCACATAGAAATGAGTTAAAAATACAAGAGGTTGAGCTGGCTCACCTTATTTTCTTTGCTAATGTAGTCCAGTTGCAGACACCAAGGATGAGTCCAGATTCGACTTAACATCTGAAAATCTTGGAAAAGTTTTGCACCTGCCTTTCCTCTGCCACCTTCATTGTTATTCCCTACACCTGATCGAAAGAAAGTACAGTTTGAAGACACACAATTCTTCAACCACAATGTTTCTAAATTCCAGGTTTTGCCCTTAGCTATCACCTGGACTCTGAATGTGAAAAACTTATCTTGTTTCTTAAAAGAACTTTTTTTTTTGGGGGGGGGGGGAGGGGGCTAGTCCTGTGGCTTGAACTTAGGGCCTAGGCACTGTCCTTGAGCTTCTTCTGCTGAAAGCTAGTACTCTACCACTTGAACCATGGCACCACCTCTGGCCTTTTCTGAGTAGTTTACTTTCCTGCCTGTGCTGGCTTCAAACGATAATCCTCAGATCTCAGCTTCCTGAGTAGCTAGGATCACAGATGTGAGTCACTGGTACCCAGCTTCAAAAAACATTTTGAAATACATAAAATAACTGGCATTATAAAGGATACCTACTTTACAGAAATATGGGATATAGAAATATACAATTTGTAATGCATTCAGTAGTAAAGAAGACCCAACAGGTGCAATGAACACCCAGAACTTTGACATATTAACCAACATAGGTGATTTGGAGATGCTGGGAGCAACATTATAGAAAAATACTTTCCAGTTTCTTTTGATAACAAAGTCAAGTGTAACACTAATACCACTGTATCTGTTATCTGTACACGTAATTCAACAAAAGGTTGCCATTTTACTCCAAGGTTCCTAAAAGCATGTAATTTTATTTGCTTATTCCAGATCTTAAAAGCTAGCTTGGGGGTGTGGCTCCACTGGTAAAGCACTTGCCTAGCAAGGGGGAGACCTTGATTTCAATCTCCAGTTCTGACCCCTAATACTCAAAAACTCCATAACTTAATTCACAAACCCTAGATTTAAAATTCCCCTTTAACTCCATATAGCCCTTTAGCAACTCTCTCCTACTATGCGAACTCCAAAAAGGTACTTCTGAAAGTAATCATGATTTTGATGTACAAAAAGTAATTATTCTGGAAATTTCTGTCTGGAATAACTTCATCAGGACATTTTTGTTGTTTTGTCAGTTGTGGGTCTTAAACTCAGGGCCTGGGCACTGTCCCTGTCTTCTTTGTGCTCAAAGCTAGTTCTTTACCACTTGAGCACTACCTCCCATTTTGAGACTCTTATCTCATGGGGACTTTTCTCCCCCCAGGTGGCCTCGAACCACAATCCTCAGATCTCAGTCTTCCAAGTAGTTAGGATTACAGGCATGAGTGATTGGTGCCCAGCTTCAAAAGGGTATTTTCATATAAAGAAAATTTAAATTGTACAGGACATGTATGCAGTTATTTCCTTTTGTCTGTTTTAGTTTTCTATACCCTTTGTCTTGTATATAAGTTTATCCCGATCCATGGAAGGGAAAGGGAATCATTGCTCTGAAAATAAAGTACCTAATTCATCACAGCATAAGTACTCATAGTACTCTCTTAATTCTTTTGGTTTTGGCAATACTGGGAATTTTAACTCAAGGCCAGCCTATGAAGCCTGATACTAGTCACACTTACAGCTCTTTTTTTTGGATCAGTTGTGGGACTAGAACTCTGGGCCTGGGTAGGATCAGTTGTGGGACTAGAACTCTGGGTCTGGGTGCTGTCCCTGAGCTCTTCAGCTCAAGGCTAGTGCTCTACCACTTTGGCCACCGTGCTACTTCTGGTTTTGCAGAGGTTAATTGGAGATAAGAGTCTCACGGACTTACCTGCCTAGCCTGGCTTTGAACTGAGATCCTAGGTGTGAGCCCCTGGCGCCTGGCTGCAGCTTTATTTAACACTGGTTATTTTTGAGACAGAGTCTTCCTTTTTGTTGGAAAGTACACCTACACTGCGATCCTCCTGTTATGTGTGTCCTACCATAACTTAAGAGTTGTAGAAAGGTATATAAAATTACACCCACCTTTTTCTGTTGAGATGGAATCACTATTTTTCCTTGCCTAAGGCTGGCTTCAAATCATGAACCTTTCACTCTCAGCCTCCCAAGGCAGTTAGAATTATGTGTGAGCTATGGTGCCTGGCTTAATTCTTTTTATATTTGTAAGGTCAGTAGTGATACCCTTTCGCTCTTTCAGTTATTGGTGTTTTTTTTTAATTACTTTGTAAGTATGGCCTATAGGAATGAAGCACTACATACAACTTTTTTTAAATTACTAGCATCAATGCATCTCTTGAACTTTTGCTCAGGCTGGCCTAGAACTTTCATACTCCTGATCTGTTTCCCACATAGCTGGGAAGACAGATGCAAATTCTGGGTCATAAGATAGGAAAAAAAATCTGAATAACACTAAGATTCAAACCCCATTTTCTCCAGAAAGTTTCTGGAAGAACAACATTATCATTTTACTCTAAAATTTACTGCTTTTGCTAAAAGATTAGTTTAGCTAGTTTAGCATGGATTTGTTCCACATTTCTAACTGTTCTGCAATAGCTCTTTAAAATTAAGGGCTTTTATTTACATGTGATGTATTTGGCCCAGGTCCCTTGTTTACAAAGCAAAGATTCTTCCACTGTACCTGGTTTTTGCTTCAATCTGATTTGAAAATATTAGAGTCTTCTCAAAAATGAGATGTTCAAGCTTATCATTTGTAAAACAAAGAGAACAGATATGGAAAAAAATGACCAAGATGGCGCTCTTCAGATAAAGATGCAAAGAGTTCGGGCCAGTTACCTGTTAGGTGATCTAAGTAGTATTGGTAAAGCTTGCACTGAATAGCTGTCATTCTCACAGCCAGCACATACTCATGTTTTGGAGGTAAAAATTTTGTTAATGCTGTATAATCTTTCCTCTGTAATTAACAAGAAAGAGAAAGAAAATTAGTTAATAAACTGCTTTAAGAATTTGTCACGCTTATTAGAAAGATGCACACAGTCACGAAGTATTTTTTCAACACATCCTCTTCAAATCACACTATCAGGGCTGGGAAGGTGGCTCAGTGGTAGAGCGCTTGCATGCCTGAGGCCCTGGGTTCGATTCCTCAGCACCACATAAGCAAAAAGAAA